TTGTACTCGCCTTTGTACTCTTAACAGGTTTCAATACGATAAATATTGCTATAAGAGTCTATAATTATCAAAAGATATTTATTCTTAGTTTTACTTGGATTAAATGGTCCCAAATGGTCAGCGTGAATGGTGTTAAATGGCATCGAAACTTTAGGAATAGGATGTAAGAATCCAGATTTTCTCCCAGCTGGGACTTTACTGTGCGCACACTCTAGACACGCTTGCACTCATTTTACTTTTTTTTTTTTCTCATTTTAGAGAACCAAAACTTTTCGGACACCTTATCTAAGGTTTTCTCCGTTGAAAAATGGCCAATTTCGTCATGACAAGACTTGAGGATCTGCCATCTAACACCCTTTGGTACTATCCATTTAAGACCTTTTTCTGTAACTCTGAAAACATTATCATTTTTAACGCAATAATTCTTGTTAATTTCAACGATATTACTGGTTTTTGGATCTAATAGTATGTCTTTAATTCTGTTAACTTCACTGTCACTAATCTGGACCGTTTTCAGCCATTCATCTGTGATATTTAAAACGCAAGGCAAGTCTAAATCAATGGGATCGTTCGGTACGGGATTTCTACTAAGAGCGTCTACATGAAGCATAGTCTTTCCTGATTTATAAATGACATCACAGTCGAATTCCTGTATTAAACTCCACCAGCGGGCAACCCTTGGTATCATATCACGTTTCATAAACGTAGCACGTAATGAATTGCAATCGGCTACAACGACAAAAGACATACTAAACAAATACGATCGAAATTTACTTAATGCCACAGCCAATGTCTCCAGTTCATAAGCAGAGAAGTGCTGCTCCTCAGGTGAAGTCTGACGGCTATAGTATGCTACTGGCTTAAGCTCGCTAGACTCTGGCTTTTGGAATAAAATACCGCCTACGCCCATCTTACTAGCGTCCGTATGTAATTCTGTGGCTAATGAAGGGTTATACAAAGCTAAAATTGGGCGAGAAATCAATTTATCTTTGAGGTCTTGAAATGCATTTTGCTGCTCCTCTCCCCAAATCCAAGGTGTGTCATTTTTAAGTAACCCTGCAAAATTTTTAATAAATTTTCGGAAAAAACTGGCTAAGCCTACAAATTGTCTTACATTGTGTGCATTTTGAGGAGTGGGAAAGTCCTTGACAGCTTCAATTTTTTTAGAACCCAGTCTACAGATGTTTGAAAAAAGTAACACTTAGACAACTTTAAAGTTAAATTAGCTTCCCTAAATTTTGTAAAAATGGTTGCTAACCTTTCCAACCCCTCATCAAATGACACAGACGGAACAAGGATATCATCCATATATGCTACAGCTGTATCGAACCTAAGAGACCCCAGCGCTTTGTTAACAGTCCGCTGAAACACGGCTGGTGCATTAGCCAAGCCAAATGGCATTCTGTTAAATTCCCACTGTCCGTCAGGAGTCACAAATGCCGTTTTAGACCTCGATTCCTCAGTCAAGGGTATCTGGTAATAACCGCTAGCAAGATCTAGTGTAGTATAGAAACTATTTCCTGCTAATCTCTTCATTTGATCTTCCATGCAAAGCAACGGATAGTGTTGTTTGACAGTTTTCTTGTTGAGTGCTCTATAATCAACGCACAGCCTCTTATCACCGGTTTTCTTACGTACTAATATAATAGGGCTGGCGTATGGTGAATTTGATTCACGTACTATACCACTATCAGCTAGGTCATTAACCATACTTTGCACTTCGCAACATTCAGCATGCGACAAACGATACGGTCTATAAATTATTGGCTGATTGTCATATAAATCAATCGACATCTCTTCAACACTAGTGCAACCCAATTCTTGTAACGAAATTGCAAAACAATCTCTAAACTTGTTTACTAAATTTAACAGTTTTAATTTTTGAACGTTAGTTATATCACCGACATTCAAATCATTTAATGTAAACGGTTGAAAATTTTGTGAGCGAGACTCTATTTTATTAACTTCAGATAGACCAAATGATTCTAATACAATCTCAACTCTAGCAATCAACTCATTCTTTTTTAACGTTATCGGTTTATCTGTAGCAGGTATAATTATAAAAGACCCTATTCCATTTTCTAACTTATACAAACCTTCAGCCACGCAATACAAATAAATCTTTGGTTCTCCTCTATAACTACTCCGTACATAGACTGACCCAGTATACTTAGAGTCACAACATATATCCACAACATCTGTTCCCGCAACCACCGAGTAATTTGCAATCATTAGTGTTAAACGCTGACGACCCTTACATTTTCCTAGATCATCAGCATTCACTACCAATAAATCGAGATCAGTTTTAACAATGCGCACGTGCGGTTGTTCACTAAAACTCTGGCCAATCAGCAAAGAATGACGAAGAAATAAATCTGGGACAATAACACATAAGACTTTAGCTATAACCGCCTGTACCTTTATCTCTGCTAGATGAGATCCTATAGAATTCACGACAGCACCTCCAAAACCAACCATAGGACGACTGTCAGTACTATCAAACTCGCCAAAAATTTCCTTAGCGTCACCGCTTCTGCACCTACCCGTACAGACCTATCATCAATTCCATGTAGTATGCATTCCGCAGCTCTTTTACCCGTAATACCACAGCGATTAATTAGGGCAACTTTTTCATAGAAGTAGGTCTCTAACGAATCTCCAAACCTAGCGCGTTTTTGCAACATATCAGAGAGCATTTGCCCATAGTTTTCGTCGTCAGGGAATGCATTCCTAAGCTTGCCCTGCCACTCGGACCAGTTAAACAAAACGGATGGTAATCCTTCATATCAAAGTTTAGCCAGAGCTTTGGTAATGCGTAATGTACAATTTGCCTATCAGTCCATTCATACAATATAGCACTCTCATTAATTTTCATTAACCAGGTATTTATAGTCTGATTCTTCAACGAAGGATCAAATTCCGGAATAAGGTTGGAATTAGAAAAAGATTCCTTGTTTTTACTTTGTCTCAAGCCTTGAATCATATTAGCAAACTTAGTAAACAACTCACGTGTATCGCCGTCGCCTTCTGGAGTCCTCCTATGCCTCCCAGCTGGTGACCGGCTACGACTTCTATTTCTATATGATGGTTCAGGTACTCGTTCGCGTCTTCGCTCCTGATACCGTGCTCGGGGTGACCTGGTAGTATTACGTTCATCTTCACGTGAAGCGTGCTCACGTCACTGGTCAAAACGTCTGATCGGCTGCGATGTCTGGAATCTCTAGATCGCGATGTAGTACGACGAGCTCGGCTCCTGCTCCGTCTGTTTCTCAAGGAACGAGTTACAGATTCCCTTAAAATTTCTTCATCCAACCATTCTACGTTTTCATATGGGGTCTCTGCCCTCGATTGTGTTGGTACCCACGATCGTCGTCCACGAGAAGATTTTTCAGCCACATCCATATTCTCACTGAAACGGGAAAACATAACCGACACAATTTTTGTACAATAACTGTAGATAGATTATTATCATCTAACATCACGTCAATGCTCGGTCACAAATGATAGTAATGTCGAAGCGTATATCAACCATTAGCTTATGTTCACTCACATAAAATCATAAAAGTGGAAGGATAACTAGGTATAATAAACAGCAGTACCCCACTGCTACGACAACTGCACAGAATTAAATTTCTAAAATAACTATTGCCATCAATATATATGTATCAATATGCAGCAGTCCCTCACTTGAGAGTGAGTCAACTGCATAGAATTAATTTATTAAAATGACTATTGCTATCAGTGTGTATCAATGTACATAAAAGGAGACAATTTCCTGTTGTACCAATCATACTTTCCTTTATTCTCATTTCACTTGATAATTGATGTATAAAGTTCTTCTTAGACAGGAGATATTATGCTTGTTTATGAAAATTGAAAATGTTTGGTCTGCAATTGTCTCAAGGTTTAACCCTATATATCGATTGTTGACTTCTTCCAAACACTCCAATAAAACGCCGTATTAACCAAACTGATTTATTAAATTATCTATTCCTCCAACATATTAGACCTTTAAAATATACTCAACAAAATTTGTAACCACGAAATAACCGTTATAATTCCTGACCAATCTAACTTTAACATTTGATGAGACACGAATGCATAAATTTTTCTTTCACCTAAAGACATTGCCTCGTACACTTGGATTCACGAAAGATGACCACGGCGCAGAAGGCATATTTTAGGTCTCTTTGGAGGTGCGAGATGAGGCGCGGGCGGAATGCGTCAAGATCGGAGCGACGCCATTGGTGCGCGCGCGTCTCGTGATAGACTGCTCAGTCGCTATTCGTCTATCGCGGCGTCGACGCGCTCACACTGCTCTCGAGTACAGTCGAAAAGAAGTGTTTCTTTGTTTTAAATTGTTTTTTATTTGTTGTTTTCGTTTTTTGTTAAGTTTTTTGTTGAGATTTGTTATTGTGTTGAACTTATTTGCTATTTTACAATGCCGCGAGGAAAAGGCAATACTTTGAATAGACAGTCGAGAAGTTTGGTGTACAACGTGTTTCAATATTTTTCACAAGATTTTAAAATACTCGAAGCTTACAAAAAAACGGCCGCGGCAACAAAGACGTCTGTATCGACAGTACAAAGAATTATAAAAGAAAGTAAATCTTCACCGTTCTTAGTGGTTTTTAGAACCCCTGGTAAAAAGAGACCGCGCCGTAACCCTGCCTCCGACGTTGACGCCTTTGACAAAGGGGTAATTAAGAGATGTATTCATAACTTTCATTTAATTGAAAAAGAATTGCCAACTTTAGAAAAGTTATTATATATATCAAGATATTAACTTTAAAGGATCCAAAACAAGTTTGGGTCGATTAATAAAAAGAATTGGATTTAAGTGGAAAAAAACAGAAAATAACCGAAATATTTTAATAGAAACATCAGCTATTCGGTTGTTACGAATCAATTACCTAAAAAAACTCCAAGAATATCGAAGACAAAATTGACCAATCATTTATACTGACGAATCGTACGTCCATGCTACACATGCAAAACCCATGGGCTGGGCTGACGGTTCTACAGCAGGTCTGAAAAAGCCTATCTCAAAAGGCCAACGTGTCGTTATCGTTCATGCCGGTTCAGAGGCTGGATTTGTGCCAAATGCATTATTAACTTTCAAGTCGGGCACAAAATCAGGAGATTATCATGACGACATGAATTTTGAAAATTACCAGAAATGGATTCGAACTCTATTGGTACCCAATCTCCCACCGAACTCCGTTGTTGTGGTAGACAACGCCCCATACCACAATAAAGAATATGATATGGCTCCCACATCTAATTCCCGAAAATCCGACATGCAAGAGTGGCTTACCAAAAATGGAATCAGCTTTGATTCCAATATGTTGAAACCTCAATTGTACGATATAATAAAAAATAACAAACCTCGTTTAAAGAAATACTCCGTTGACAAAATTTTGATGGAAAATGGTCACGATGTTCTCCGTCTTCCACCGTACCACCCGGATTTAAATCCCATAGAAATGGCTTGGGCCTCTATAAAGGGTTACGCGAGTAGTAAAAACGTAAAGTGGAATATTAGCTGCGTTATAGATTTAATTAAAGAAAAAGTGAATCTGATGGGACCAGAGGAATGGAAAAAACTATGTGACAAAGTAAAATCTATAGAAGAAAGCTATATAAAAAGTGACCACATCGTGGATGTTCTTACGGAGGAATTAATTATACGTGTGGGAGAATCTGACGAGAGCGAAGATTCGACAGATGTGGATTTTCCCGAATCATCGGAAGATGAAGACTTTAATATGGAACCCGGCCCCAGTTCCTCAAGTTCCACGATTCCCTCAAGTTCCATGATAGAGGGAATCATGGAACTTGAGAATAGCGATAGCGACTAAATGTGTTTTACAAATTTTTATATTTTTGGTTCAATTTATTATAATAAACATTTAAAATTACTTACGTTTGATTTATTTGCATAACCAGCGTTTACAACATTACACAAATTATTAAACCAAAATTAAAATATTATATTGTCATAAGTCTTCTTCATGAGTGTACGTGCGCAGACGGCCGCCATTTGTGGTCATCTTTCGTGAATCGTACTGTAAATCCCATTGACTTACAAATAAATGGACGACGGGTCTAATACAAAAACCACGAAAAAAATGTCCCAAGTCAACCTATTCGAAATTTAAATTGTAATGTCATCGCAGTATCGCGCTGTCAGTAGAACAAATGAAGACTGTCGCGCTCTGTATACGATTTTAGCGCCTTACAAGTGCGGACACTTTTTAGCGCGGACCCGACGTCCATATAATTGTAAGTCAATGGTAAATCCCTTCTTTTTCAATTCCCGCCATTTTTCGCAAGTAGGGAACTTTAAAAGCAATGTCATTGGCTAGTCGAACCGGTAGATAAAGTGTTCGGACCAATCACAATCAAGACCGACACGCCATCTACATGGCAACATTTCGGAAACCTAATACTATCAATTAACAAACTTTTTAAATTATTATTTATTTTTAAAATTATGTGGAATAAGCTTATTAACCCTTATAATATTTAAATAAGTAATAATGAAAATATTTTTTCTATTTTACGATTATATATTTCTTACACGATAACTATGTACTGTGGCGTATCTCAAAAGCTAGTGATATGTCAGGTCACGTAGTGTGTCTGCTACGCAAAGTTAACGAATACCATCCCAATGTTCGGATTAATCTCTTATTATACGAGTACCCAACGAAAACTTTGGGGTTAATTCACAATTTTGCCTTTTCTGAATAAATGTCAGAAAAAAAAGATAATTTCAGGTTGAACCGCTATTCTTGAGAAGCTGTGATTTGCAGGTAAGCGTACCTGTTCGTTTTGTTTCCACTTTAAGTGAATATTCTTCTGTCCATAGTAAAGCGGTTCAGTACAAAGTATTAATTTGATGCAAAATTAAAAAGTGACAATGAACCTTAAAGCATATCGAAGAACTATGTGACGATTTCAAAGTAACACAAAGGTGTCTAAGCGCACAGGTCGTAGTTTTCTACGGCAAACCTGGTTCATGAGAACTGGTTGATCAAATCTTATGGTTCACATGAAAATATCTTCAAGTATTTTAATCTACATAATCATTTCATATTGATGTGAATTGACATGTAATAATATACCCAAATATAATTACTTTACAAGTACCTAGGTATCAATAATCGCTAAAGTGTAAATTATTGACGTATATTTAATTTCATTTACACTTCGCGTTAATATGTAAAGTGATTACTAGATATTTCAAATTGAAAAAAAAAAAAATTGTGTGTATAGAGTTGGATTTATTAATCCAAATGGATTGCTTTGTATCCCAAGGAATAGTTACAGGTTTTATTTAAGTGGGAAGGTGGTCTAGTGGAATTTTGTAATATTTCAAACACAATAAACAACATTCATGTGCCTTGAAGTAGTCTAAATAAATACGTTTACCACAAGTAACTTACACTTACTATAATATCTACCTATAACTTCACACAAGCTGGTCTAGTGCTTGATAATTAAATTGACATTATAATAAAGGTAACAACTAATTATTTATTCATTCAATAATTATTTCATAATATGATTGCATTACTAATGTAATGTGAATGTAAATATGAGTTTGTATTACATGATAGACAAATACCTTTTGTTGTGGACAATCGATGATAATAATACTGTTTATTAGGTTGCTGTATGCACGTGATCAGGGTACATCTTAGGTACCGAAACAATTTTGAATGTACATCATAATCTACCACAATATATGCCTTGTGCTTAACTTATATTTGGCCATTATAGAAATAATAAAGTTATTTTGCATTTACGACGCATAACGACTTAGAATATTATAAACAGCGAAACTGGAAGGGTCAAACCTCGTAACTTAGATTTTCAACTAAGATTTAATGACAAAATTGTAAACACAGACTTAGAAGTTGCTAAAATATTTGAACATTTTTTTACAGACATTCCAATTTTGACTACTAAATCGTTAAATTCATCTCCCACCGCCGCTGAATCCTTACTAAAAGAAAATAATGCAGTTAGTATCACTAATTTAAGGTTCCGTCATGGATTTCCAAACGATATTGTTAAAGCCTTTAAAAAAATACAAAAAAACATAAAAAATACTGCTGATCTTGATGGTCTTTCAGTCAGAGTAATTAGTTCTATAGTTGATTGTATTGCGCCTAACTTAGCTTGTGTCTTTAATAAATGTGTTGATGATGGTGTCTTTCCTGACCTCATGAAGCAAAGTAAAGTTATTCCACTTTTCAAATCTGGTAGAATTTCTGACCCCACCAATTTCAGACCTATATCAATACTACCAACTCTCAGTAAAATAATTGAAAAAATTATTCTAAATCAGATGTGTGCACATTTTTATAGCAATAACTTAATGGCTCCTAAACAATTTGGTTTTACTCGGGGTCGCTCTACAACCGATGCCGGTGTCGAGTTGATTAATTATATATTTGATGCATGGGAAGTCTCACATGATGCTATTGGTGTATTCTGTGACCTTTCCAAGGCTTTTGATTGTATGCACCATGATACACTGATCAGGAAACTTCGCCATTATGGTGAGGCGGGACGTGAATTCAACCTTCTTAAATCGTAGAAACGAAAAATTGAATCTTGTGGATACGGTTGTATTTCTAGGTATAACGTTAGATGCTAAATTGCAATGGGGTCCCCATATAAGTAAGTTATCAAAACGGCTCGGCTCTGCAGTGTACGCGATTAAAAAAATACGGAAACTTTCAGACGACGAAACCGCTAGATTGGTTTACTTCAGCTACTTTCACAGTTGAATGCCGCCGATATCAATAGAATCTTTGTCCTGCAGAAACGTGCGGTTAGGGCAATTTACAATATGGGCCCCAAAGTATCTTTGAGAGATAAGTTTAAGGAAATTAACATTCTTACACTAGCCTCACAGTACATTTATGAAAATGTAATTTATGTTAAAAGGAATAGTAATTTCTTTATGAAAAATAGTGACAGACATAACATTAGTACGAGGAATAAAAATAAACTAGCTTTTCTTGATAGTCGTCTTCACAAAGTCAAAAAATCATTTAACGGGCAATGTATATAATGTATGTGTTCCGGTTGATATACAAAATTTACCTTTCACGAGGTTTAAAACTATAGTGAAACATGGGTAAAGGTTATCATACAACTTCTGCATACTTGGATGACAAAACTTTGTAGTAATAACCCGTTTAGCTCATGGAGGTAGTCTCGATCTCTAATGTTTCAAATAAAAAAAAAAATATTGTAAATGTTGAATGTTTACAAATGTTATTTACAAAGAGCAACCCCTAGAGTTTCTTGCTCATTCTTCTCAGGGGAATCTGCCTTACGAATGAGCGGTAGAGTTTAACCATTGTGACGATTTCAAGTGTAATAATGCTTACCTATGAAATAAAGATCATTTTGAAGTTGAATTTGAATTGCGAGGCGCATAAAGTGGCGAGGCGCATTAACTTGCGACGCGCATTAAATTGTGACGCGCATTAAATTGCGACGTGCATTAAATTACGAGGCGCATTAAATTGCGAAGCGCATTAAATTGCGAGGCACATTAAATTAATATTTAAAAAAAATTGCATCATTTTGATACATCAGGCAAGATCATGATTTAACAAGTATACCTACGTTATTTTATTACTTTGCAGCTACCTTCTTTTAAATTACTTTATATTGAAAGATAAATACAGCAAACAACTTATAAAGTACAATTATTTACAGATTCAGGCATCACTTTTAGAAAATCGGAATGATCAAAAATAAAGTAAATTAATTTGCTACTCCGCGAACGCGGTGAAGGTTAAATCGACGATTAATTATGGCCACGCTCTCTAACTAAATCGCTACGCAAATTAAAACTGTATATGTATATTGTTGTTTTTATGACCACACAATATTACTGAAACAAATGACCATGCAAATTAAAAAATATACTGTTCATTAATGGCCACGCAATCTTACTGAAACAAATGGATACGTAAATTATAAACATATAATGTTGGTTTATGGCTACGCAATCTTACTGAAACATGTGACCACGCCAATTAGGAACATATAATGTTGTTTTATGGCCACGCAACCTTACTAAAACAAATGGCCACGCAAATTGAAAATATATAATGTTGTTTGAGGGCTATGCAACCTTGTTGAAACAAATGGTCACGCAAATGATTTAAAAAGATAAAAAGGTCATGCACAAAGCAGTAAGAATACGGCTAGGCAGTTGATTATTGTTACTTAGTGCTTACTAGTAAAAGGCCACCCACAATAATACATACTGTTACATAATTATGTCAAAAGCCACGCACAATAATATATAAGTCACATATTTGAAATTACGATTTAGTGCTTATGCAATTGGAAAAATGTCGATTCTATTATTTGATATCGACAAGAAGAAGTTAATATCAAATCTTTGAAACTTGCTTTGATAGCAATGAGGCTCTTTCCATACGAAACGCAAAAAAATATTATAGATAGCGGTGATATTCTACCATTGTTAAATTATATTGATAAATATTATTCAAATAGCCCTTACTGAATTACAAAAATCTGATTTATCAATGTCAGAGTTCTTACATGTTTTTGACGATATCAGAGCAGTAATGAATTGTACCACTGACGAAGAAAATAAAATTGAAAGTGTTGTACCGAAACACCGATTATGATGTGGTTAGAGAGATAAGTGAAAAAATTGTGCAGGGCGTTGACATAACTAACGAAAGTTTGTACAAATATCATACATCCGTGGATGTTGAAAGATCCTTCATCTTATTAATAAATATTGAGTGTCAAACGAAATAGTTTGACACTGGTAAATATGGAAAAAATAAAT